GTTCTCTTGATTGTTCTTGAATGGACTTTAATGATGGAAGCCTGAGTATATGAATGTTGGTGCCATTACTGAAGGCCTGAATAATCTTTTTCCTCTCACCATTGCTCATTTGAAAAGATATAGTGGGGCTGATACAAAATGATTTTAAACTGTTCTCTTTCTCGCTGAATAACTCAAAGGGTTTTTTCAGTGATTCTTAAGACAAATGTTGTCAAGATGGCTAAACGTCTTGTCTGAAAACTTTGAACAAAGAAACTGAATTACTTTCGTGTTTTTTTTTTCTTCTTCTTTTTAGATATTAAACATTTTGTGGAATGGACAATTATCCGATGCTGTTACACGATTTGGACAATTTTGCTGTTACACCCGATATATATATATATATATATATATATATATATATATATATATATATATATATATATATGAGAGAGAGAGAGAGAGAGAGAGAGAGAGAGAGATAAATTATATTAAGCAACAGACAGCTTTAAGGGTTCATGGTATCACCATGAACCCTTAAAGCTGTCTGTTTCATAATATAATTAATATTTGCTCTATTTTTACATTGAGCTCTCTGGATTATATCCTCTCTGAATTATCCATACGGATTACCAAATACATCTATAACTATATATATATATATATATATATATATATATATATATATATATATATATATAAGGGAAAAGGGAGAAAAAAAAGAGTGGCAGATAGACAGAATTCATGGCATTAAAGAACGCATGAAGTTTTTGGTTTATAGATCATTTGGGCTTTCATCTTTATTCTCGTGAAACCTGGGTAACATAGCAAAAAGATATTAGGAAATATTTCACCAACGTACTTTTGTGTCATCCTCGAAATTCATTGAAGAAAAAAGCGGACATGGAAGGTTTGGAGCTTGCTTGCAAGTCTGACTGACTGGAATGTCTAGCATTGAAATAGAAATCCATCAGCGTTGCCCAGGTCACTTGATCAGAGCATGAGAAGCAGTTACTAAAGAAGTTACTGTATACACAGATAAATGGCGCTAAAAGACCACAACATAAACCATCAGCGCGTTTTAAGGACTCAATAACCCTGTCACTTGCAGCTTTTAAAATAAACCTGTATAATTGGTAGAATGATGCCACTGACCGATTAAAATATAAGTTATTTACGAAAGGGCAAAATCTCTTTGGAGAAGGCAGCTACAGTCACGCAAGGGCAAGAAAAATAAATAAATAAATAACTAATAACAGCTCCGAGAAAATGATTGCCGATGGATAATGATAATATGCTTTTTTGTGTGTGATATCTGCTTCTCTTAAGCTGGCCTGACTAGCTCTATGTGTAGCCATACACTAAGGCCTCCAATTCACTACCCACAATTCCTGTCTACAGACTGACCAATTAATAATAAAGTATATTGAAATACGCATGGAATATGTAATTATATAGAATCCAGGAATCATCCAAAAACAAGTGTTTTGCGTTGTCTTTGCAGAAAAGGTAAAAATATCTTATCGGCTAAAGAGTTATCGAAGTTCACACAATATATAAGGTCACTTGCATATATTTCACTGATTTTATTTATTTTATTGTATTTTTTTCCTTTCTAACTCAATAATTTATATTTATTTTTAATTTTGTAGCATAATGATTCAATTAGTACACAGTAATTTATTTTGTATATAATTTTAATCAAATAAATTTACTTCTGTGGCACACATGTACGATTTAGTGTAAAATTAGTTTAGGAGTGTAAATTGTCAATGCAGGTGTTGTCTTAATTTATATGTTAATGTGTTAAAAATAGTAAGTCTTGATTAACGAGTCATATATATATATATATATATATATATGTGTGTGTGTGTGTGTGATTGTCTCTCTTTCTTTGTCTCTGTCTCTCTTTCTCTATCTCTCTTTCTCTCTCTCTCTCTCTCTATATATATATATATATATATATGTGTGTGTGTGTGTGTGTGTGTGTGTGTGTGTGTGGGGGGGTGTATGTATAGAGAGAGAGAGAGTGAACAGACATAAACAAAGAGAAATAAAAGAGAGAGAAAGAGATCATAAGATTCGAGACAGCTACCGAAACGCTGTTGTTAGCACATTCATCCGACCTAATTCTCTTGAATAAGCGAATATGGGCTTCGTTGGGACACTATTTTATCTGCCTTGTGCCAGATTAAATTGTTATTTTTTTAAATAGTCATGGACAATATAATTTTATCAGTTTTAAAACGTAATATGACTTCTTTGAATGTAACCTTAGCAGTGTTCAAAATAAACGTTCGTTAAAATTATTATTACTGTTGACGATAATGGTCAAAATAAATGATTAGTCAGCGAAACAGAAAAAGAAATACGAATACTGCGTCTCTTTGCTCGCGTTCAGTCTTTTTGTATCCTTGAAGATCAGTGATTTATTATTACACTAGCAATAATACCCGAAGCTGCCCGGGCAAAAGTCCCTTTTTTATTTCCTCCACTACAGCCCTTTGTTCGTTTAAGAAGCTTTCGTATGCCGTAAAATAGTATAAATAAAATTGTAATTAAAGCAGTTCAATAAGGTTAATTTGTTTATCGGGCATTCGTTTACTATATGGCTGCGTTAAGGTATCGTAATCTTATGGTCTCGGGTTCGAATCTAATGATAAAAGATTTGTTAAGCGGCGTAAAATAATCTGCTATTCCTTGAACGGCGTAAAATCAACAAGACCAAAATATATACTTTTATTACATTTAAACATTATTACAAAGGGTTTACATGATTAGCAATACCAACGATAACCACCCGTTGCATCTTGATAAATCATTTAAACTTAAATGACCAGTTGCAATGTTGGCTGTTGCGAATGAGCCGTCGTTGTTTAACCAACGCAACACGGTTATAGGCTTCCTCAGATGATTGCCCAGCTCCAATATGTACCGATATTTTTTGCAAGATATCGTGATAATAATTCATTCGGATCTACAATTGCCTGTGAGGCGCTTCGTATGTCGCGTCACATGGCTGAAATGAATTTGGACAGTTTATTTTACGCCGTTTAAGTGAAGCAGAACGTTATCAGATTATTTTACGTCGCTTATGTGAAGGATTACCCAAATAAATCCCATTGTTACGCGAAACGAATCGAGTGAGGTATTTTAATACTTTTCTGATCAGAACTTTAAAAAAATTATTATTTCATAAATTTTGATTTGTTATTTTCAGAAAATAGTGTTAAAAATGTCGACAATCTTCACAAATTATTTACTTCCGTCTACTCCCCAGCTGTGATCTAAATACTTAGGTCGTTACCACTTTCAGAATGGTAAAAGTATTTTATTTGAATAACTAAGCAATTAATATATTTAGAAAACGCCAAGAAATCGGTCGCTTATTTATAAAGATAACAAAATACTCCATTAGAAGAAACAACTATTTTTGAAAATCTGATAATGAATTATCGCCATTAAGCATGTACTCTTAAGTTGGGCGCGATATAAGACACATGCTGATAGATGCAAATGTTGAAACTACATTTCTTATATTTTATATTTATAAGTTCAATTTATATTTTGCATTTTTATATATATTTTAAATTTTATATTGAATATTGCCTAAGTCAAGTGTTTTTTTTTTTTTTTTTTTTTTTTTTTTGTTTTGTTTTGTTTTTTTTTTGCTTTGATGCAATTGTTTCTTTGCAAGGTTCGAATAAAGCTGTAAAATAGCATTGATTTTTAAAACTGAATATGCAAATTAATTATTTCCATTAAGCAAGACCCATTAAGTTGGTCAAAATATAAGACACATTCTGGAACATGTAAATGAGAAAATATTTATTTATGTTGCTGTTTTCGCACACACACACAGTCTACTTTATATATCTAATTTAAACTTTCAGAGTTTCCAACATACGCACATACATACGTTGATCTTTATATAGTAGATGTGCGAGAGGGTTCTGAGAAGGCTTCAGCCCAAACAAAGAAAAAATTCTCAAAATTGTTTGGTTATTGGGCCAGATTTGGGGAAATTTTTGGCAGTAAGTTGTATATTTATTTTATTTTCCCGCGTATATTTACCACCGTCTATATATTATCATATTGATATACTTGGGCAATGAAATAGCATGCAAATTGGCAAAAGGCACCATCAACATACCAAAAAAGAACATAAACATACCCCTCCATACAGACTTCAGGAAAAAAAAAAGAACATATAAAAAGAAAATGGCAAGAAATATAGGACTCAAAACCTAACAAACTATACAATATATTTAACCAACAACAGGGGGGGGGGGTGGCTCCCAGGTTTCAGAAAAGAATAAGGCAGATATAATAGTTATAAACAGACTACGAACAGCATATACACATCTGACACAAATTTACCAAAAAAATGAATCTCCCTCATCCTGCAACAAATGTCGAGCACCTCTCACAATCGAACATATACTCATAAATTGCCACCACCTCAGTCAAACCCGAACAGAATATTATAAAGTAAACAATGCAAAAGAACTCTTTCAAAACATTAAATCAAATATCCTTAACACCTGAAGGGAAATATACCTCTTACCCCAAATCCACCATAAAATATACCCCTTGCTCCAAGCCTATCTCAAAATATATCCTTACCTCAATCCCTGCCGCAAAATATACCCCTTATCCCAATTCCCACAAATAAATATACCCCTTGCACAATCGCCAAAAACAAATATACATTTTACCCCAATCTGCACTACTAAATATACCCCTTACCACAATCCCCACAAACATACATAGCCCTTACCCTACCACCAAACATACACCTTAATCGACCAGCAAATATACCTCTTATCCTAATTCCCACCACCAAATATGCGCCTTACTCCAAACCTCATCGCCAAATATACCACTTACCCCACCACCAAATATACACCTTACTCCACCAACAAATATACCTCTTACCCCAATTCCCACCGCCAAATATACAATCTTACACCAACCTGCACCACAAAATATACCCCTTACTCCAATCCCCACCACCAAATATGTCCCTTACCCTACCACAAAATATACCCCTTATCCCACCACCAAATATGCCCCTCACTCCAAACCTCATCTCTAAATCTACCCCCTACCTCAATCCCCACCTCCAAATATACCCCTTACCCCACCACCATATATACACTTTGCTCCACCAACAAATATACCTCTTACTCCAATTCCCACCACCAAATATACTCCTTACCCCATTACCAAATATACCCCTTGTCCCAGTCTTCACCTTCAAATATACATCATTTAAACATTCAACATATTGCCTGAATTATTTCTAGAAATGTCGAGAGAGAGAGAGAGAGAGAGAGAGAGAGCTCAAGTATTTCTGAGTATCACAGATATTCATTATAATCTTCTAACATTTTGAGTTGGTGAGTTAAAAAAAGGACTCTGTCGTCTGACGTGAAGTTCATTCATTCCCGTTATAACTTAAGTATTTCTTTTTCACTTGTCCCTTTTTTTTATTTAAGCTTGAACATGACAACAAGGAACAATGTACAACACTTCAATTGATGTATTAGGTATTAATACATTGCATCAATGAGCGTCTATTTAGGATTACTGATATTATTTTTGGAAAGTTTTATTCGAATTCTCCTGGTCACTGATAGGGAGTGTCTTCTATTTTCTGGTATTTCCATTTTCGATTATTAAACTTTTCAAAACACCTTTTTTTTTACAGTTATTGAACTGAATTACTTTTCAGGGCTATCAACTTGTTTGATGACAATGCTTTTCTATATTCGATAGATACTTGTAAATTCGCGGTTAATTGTTGCTGTGTGTATTTAAAAATCGAAATTTGGAGATGACATGCGATTGAGGGTAAGTCATTCTTTCAAAACTGATACGTTCTCTCAGAAATTATTTGGATTTGATTATTTTAATTTTTTTCTACTGCAAGGATGTTTTTCTTTTCTTTCATTCCTTTTCATTCGTTTTTTTTTTTTTTTTTTGCTTTCTTTTGTGTTTTCGTTCAGTCATTTATACTTGCTTTTATTCAATTTTATTCTTTCATCCATTCGTTATTTCAATCATATCTTCATTCAGTTTTATTTTCCCTATGATGTCTATTCGTTTTTTCATTCTTTTATTCTTTCATTTTATTATATTCCTTACTTGCTTTTATTCAATTTTATTCTTTCATCCATTTTTATTTCAATCCTATCTTCATTCAGTTTTATTTTTCTATTCGTTTTTTCATTCTTTTTATTCTTTCATTTTATTATATTCCTTACTTGCTTTTTATTCAATTTTTATTCTTTCATCCATTCGTTATTTCAATCCTATCTTCATTCAGTTTTATTTTCCCTATGATGTCTATTCGTTTTTTCATTCTTTTATTCTTTCATTTTATTATATTCCTTACTTGCTTTTATTCAATTTTATTCTTTCATCCATTCGTTATTTCAATCATATCTTCATTCAGTTTTATTTTCTCTATGCTGTCTATTCGTTTTTTCATTCTTTTATTCTTTCATTTTATTATATTCCTTACTTGCTTTTATTCAATTTTATTCTTTCATCCATTCGTTATTTCAATCATATCTTCATTCAGTTTTATTTTCTCTATGCTGTCTATTCGTTTTTTCATTCTTTTATTCTTTCATTTTATTATATTCCTTCTTTTATTCTTTCTTTTTTTTGTGAATGGCAGCAAGTTACTTATGTTGGTAGGTATAGATGCAGCCAAACAGGATACAAATACTTTTTTTTTTTTCTTTTAAGGATTAGGTATATTTACCTTGCCACTCCGACAAGGTTGGATGTGACAAAACTTCGTTTTAACGTGGGGAAGATATACACATACTTATATATATGAGCTAAGGACAAAAACTGATTTTTGTCCAGCCCCCGCGACCACTGTCACGCTGGCGTCAGTATTACACCGATCCAAACTTTTTAATGCGATGAGGAAGATGCTGCGGCAGGGTCGGAATCCCCGGGACTGAGAAACTTTTCCCATCTAAAATGAGGAGAATCATAGCTCTACTTAAAACACAGGAACGTTAATCACGCCTCGGTAAACCCCCATTGGCTAACGGTTAAATCCTGTGCTAGAATGGTTAGTGATACTTCACAGCCCACGTTCTGTAGTTACCATTTCGCGGTAACACATGTTATCAAGTAATACAGTACTTTTTCGATTATCCGGAAAAATTGGAAAAGGAGTTGAAAAAAATGACCGGGTAATTCAAAATTCCGGATAACTGAATACATAAATTATCGAAAAAAGAATTAAGATAAAAGTCCTTTTGCTGAAAGAAATTTAACATTTAAATTATCACATAGCATTTTCAAATGCTTTGCTCAAGGTTTTGTCCAGTTTATTTTATTATTATTATTATTTTTAATGAGAAATGCGTCAACTTTTGTTTCCGGTTGGTTTTTCTGCCGCTAACTTCCGGTGCTGCATTAAAGTAAACGTAGTTGACAGGGCAGCTTCCGCTTTGAAAACGGTACCAACGGAAACATTTGTCAAACACAATCATTGCTTCAGTGTTTGAAAAATGGGCATCTCTGGAGTGACCAGGCTGTGATAATTTAAATGTATGTCCTTCGTATGAAAAACAATGCAGACATTAACGAGAATTAAATAAACTGGTTTTATTAGCTTAATGAATAAAAATTCAAATGTTGAGTAGATGTTTCGAAATCCTCGGAACGTTTGTCTGGGTTGAAATATTAGAATGGGTTTAGTTCGGTTGATTGAAAGTTCTCATGGTTTCCATTTTTCTTTTCATTTCACGTCCGGATAAACGAAGTCCGGAAAGTCGAGGATGGACTCTAATCCATTTTGAGAAGAGACTTACGGACACATCGCAGTTTTTGTTTTTTTTGTTTTTTTTTCTAATAATTTTATTTAATTGTGGGACAACAGCCTAGTGGACGAAAGCGTTGTTTCGTGATTTTGGCGACATATTAATTGTGAGTTCAATCCCTAGGCTGAGCCTGTGAAAATATAAGTAATTCAATCATAAAAATCAATGCTGTATAAAACCTATGATGTAGTGATCGGCCATGAAATGAAACTGACAGGACATGGTCATGATCTTCTCCACCAAACAACTGAAGAACTGTTTTGACCAAACAACACTATTGATTGGAAGAAAAAAGCATCATACATACATATATATATAGATGTGTGTGTGTGTATGTGTGTGTGTGTGTGTGAATGAATTGGCATCAAATATAGATTAGAATCTGAGAGAATGATAGCATAAGGAGCAAATGGAAAAATTTCACAACTTTACCATGTTTCGCATTTATATAAACTTCATCAGAATATTTTTAGAAATCCCGCCCAAAAATTTATGATGAAACTCAAATAAATGCAAAAGCGAAGCATGTTAAATTTCTTATTAGTTACTTATTGTATAACACACACACACACACACACACACATGAGAGAGTTAAAAATCAAATGCTGATCAAATATGAATCAGAATCCGACAGAATGATAGGATAAAGAACAAATAGGAAATGTCTATCAATCTAACATGTTTCAATTTCAATAAAGCTTCGTT